ACTTCGTCATACACCAAAGTCCTCCGTCTCTCCAAGTTTGGCACAAGCGTTCCTGAAAGGAAATCCCGAGACACTTCAACAATAGCGTTTCCATCTTCTTATTGTCGCTTGATCGTACGAATTTTGGTTCTGCCAAAGCCGATGTAAGCTTTGAACAAACAACAGCCTTCTTCTCTGAAACAAATTTGTCAGTTAACTTTGGGGAAACCTCCCCCAACTTCTCAATTTTACCCTTACAGGTCTTCAACATAAGGGAGGTAACCCCATAAAAACACTGGATAAAAAGAAAAATGTCCACAAAAAAATTTAAAATTTTACCCGCAGGAGTTTCGTGAGCACCACTCCGGATACTGTTGGTACTAAGATCCTTCATGTTGTTCCATCCTCTCCCTTTTCCAGTTCTTGCAAGTGGAACTGAAACTTTTCTTCCTTTTGTTCCCTGGAAGCTTAAAGTTTCACCGGTTTCTTGATATTCTAGCGTGCATTCGTAATCAAACAGAAATGGTCGTCCAAGGATACAATCTTGCGCTTTTGGTGAAACAAACAGGTGAGCTGGTCCCGAGAATCTTCCTATCGTTACTGGACAGTTTTCGGCTACCCCGTTCAAATCACATCTTGCTCCTCCTACTCCTTTCATAGGTATATCGACTTTGACTACTTCCAGTTCTAAGTCCTGGGCTACTATACTTGGTATCACATTGACCATAGATCCAGAATCAACCATGAAATCAACCTTTGATCCGCCAATTTCCGCCGTTACGTAGCCTAGAGCACAACTGTAATAACAGGGATCTCTTTCTTCATCTTCATTGTTGAGCTCCATTGCCGACATTTTGACTGCTTCAGTTGCTATGTAAGTTGTGGAACTTTTCTCCGGGAGTCTGCTCTGTAATTTCGAAATAATTTGGGATGTGTATGCTGGAGATATAGCCGTAAGCTGAGCAAAAGTGGTCGGAATTTTGACATTGTCTAGTTCCTGAAGCAAAATTTCCTCTGGGCTTGCATCCTTGGATTTCATAGCTGAGATTCTATCTTTACTCCAAACCTTCTCGACTGGCTTCTTCGGAGGATTCGGCGAAATCTCGGCCACTTCTTCCTCTTGATCCACATCCATCTGTTCATCGTTTGTTGGCTCCTGGATTCGGACACTTCGTCTTCCCTTCTGTGCATCAGACCTCGTTATTGCGTGAGTTCCTAGAAAATTCTCAGCCCCTAATGTTGGTGGATCCCAATCTATAGTTTGAGCTGATGACTTCATGATTCCAGAATTTTGCTTCGGTTCTGTCTTGGTCGCATTATTTGTGTGTTCTTGCATCTTTGGGTCTGCCGAGGCTGTTGCAACTACAGTTCGAATTGGTCTTGAAGGGTTCCACGGAATATGTTGCCCATCTGGCAGGTACCAATCTTTCCCGTTTCTCTTTACTAGCCCTTGCTCTTCATCCTTAAACAATTCGGAACATCTGTACGTTGTATGACCTTCTCTGTGGCAGTAAAAACACATCATAGGCTCGTAAATTGGTGTCGAAGGTTTGGCGTTCCCTCGTGAGAATTCTGATTTCGGATTGCTTTGTTGGTTGTAAACAGGTAATACTCTCTTCAATTGTTGTTTGAGTGAAGCCATTTCTTGCATTATGTCTTCTACTTGTTTCTCAACCACCTTTCCAGTTGGCGCTCCGGATATCATTTGTTCTCATTGCTGACCATCGCCTTTCTTCTGATCCAGTTCCCGTTGCATTCGCTTATTCGCCTCGGAGAAGCCTGAAACTGCAAAGTATCCTTCCTCTTCAACCCTAATTTCTGTATCCGCTGCTTCTGTAACATGTTTCCACAGTGGAGGTTTACTACTGCCGTCTGGTCCTTTTGGGAGTTGTCCGTTACTGACTAAAGTTCTCTTGATGTTCTTCTGACTTTCTTTAGAAAATGCACTTATGAAAAGAAGTGATGCGTCCTGCTTCTTGTTCAAATGTTCATTATCCACGAGGTATTTCAAGATAGTGGTGAATTTTCCCAAGTAAGCCTTGTACTCTTTGTAATCCTTCAGTCCTCCCTTTCTGGAGTATTCTTCCGCAATTTTGACCAAATCCGCCGTAGTGTACAGAATAGTGTTGTCCAATTCCCCCCAACTCTCCTTCATCGCCTTCCTTAACTCCGTCCAGTTGAAACTGTCGTAACCTTCCATCGCCTCGAGTTCCAACTTCAATTCCTCCTTATGTACAAATCGTCCAATCTGTAACGCCTTTTCGTAGTCCGATGCCTGAAACGCCAAAGCCGCTCGTTCGTATCTCGCTAGAAATCGTGTGAAATTGGTCCCGTCGTAAACAAGTCCCGGTTCCTTGATGATCCTTGGTCCATATCTTCTCTCCGCCGGTTCACCATCCGATCCTCTCGCATTATGTAATCCATATCCAGTCACCGGAGGTTCCGTTTGCTTGGCTTGTCTCTGTGGTGTAGGATCCTCTGAGTCTGACATCTCTTCTTCAGCCTGTGGTTCTCTGTATTGATTGGCTGGCATCTTTCCCTTATCCTTCTTCATTGGTGGTGGCGGTGCTGTAAATCCTGTATTCCAGTTCGAATTCGATCCCGACGCAAATGGCCTATTTCCCAAAGGTGTTGTTGGAGCAAATCCATCTTCCAAGTCTGGCACAGTATATGGTAAACTCATGTTGTTCTTGTTGACTTCCTAGTTGTTGTGATGTAATACTATGTTTGGATACTAATCCTACTAAACTCTGTTTTTCAATTCAAAAATGGTCTCTGGTCTCTTTACCAGGGCAAGTTGGGGGTTTTCTCAGTAACAATACTAGTAGCTGGGAGTGTTCTTCTAGCAGGATACGATTATCCAGATTCTTTGGTGGTCTTCCTTCTTCTGGGATATAATCGTCTGCTTCCTTCGAGTGGGCTCCGACGTTCGCTTCAAACAGGATCCAGTTATCCAAATCCTTCGGTGGTCTTCCTTCTTCTGGGATATAACTGGCTGCTTCCTTTCGAGATACGTCTGTCAGAACTAGAGTCACAAATCTTCTTTCTTCTTTCAGAGGTTTAGTAGTTTTCGTTTGCTAAATAGGTTCTATCACTTGACTATTCGATCTTTCAGGTTAACTTGATGTTTCTTCTTTACTTGATGACAGTTGTGGTTGATAAATTTGTTCTTCGCAAAATCCTTCAAGAGTGTCGACTATCCGTGTTGATTCTTCTTCTTGCTGTTCGTCTAGAATTTAATCCTTCTTCAATTATAACGTAATCCTTATCACGTTGGGGACTCCCTTGTAAGACTCAAAAAAGTGATTGTAAGATCCTTTTTGCTGAATGGAGAAAGGGATGAAATGAGCTGCAAACTCTGCCTTTCTATATTATCAGAAAACAAGACCACCAAGGTAAGCTTGGCAGTTTGGTTGGTGATAATGGATTATGTTCAAAGATGGTTGTATAATTGTTGAAGGTTGATCTTGTTGTCCAAAGAGTTGATTGAGTTGGTGATGTTGTTTCTCGTCTTGATGTCTTGATGCTTGTGTTCTTCCTTAATGCTGTAAATGTAATAGAGGTGGTTCTTGAACCCAAAGGGTCTGGGAGCACTATGCTTCAACCATGACTGGAACAAAGGACTGGTTCTTCTGTGTAATGTTTGTGAAACTGTGTATATATTTCAACTGTGAACTGTACTACTTGTGAACCTCTTGTGTAATAAATATCTGTGACAGGTGTCCCACCAAAAATGTGTACTGAGTGGGATGAGGAGGGAAACAACTGGCAGGCAGAGGCCTCCTTATATAGTAAAATATGAGGGATTTTAGCCCCAAGGGACCCCCTGTATGAGGCATTTTAGCTGCCCTATCCTTGAAAATCCTGAGGGATTTTGGCTAGACTATCTACAACGCATTCCTTTTATATGTAAGCTGTAAGAAAGGAATTCATGTGTTCTGTGGCTGAATAAATGGGAATTTAACTGGTACAACTGGTGGCCAACTTGTGGTTCTGTAAGTATAAAAGGAATTCAATATGAATAAAAGGAATTCAATATGCAATATGCAATATACCCCCATGCAATATACCCTCCAGCTGAGTGCCTCTGATCCTGTGATTCTCCGTGTGACATCCTTGATTCTGCGTAACTTCTGATCCAGTAGAGATATGAGGGTGGTTCCAGTGAGTGACTAGGGGTTAAATTGGCCGTAGATTCCATTTCTGATGTCCATTTGTCCGTATCTTGAGTCCTTGATTGATAAATAATAAAATTTTGAATTTTCTTCCCTTCATACACAGGAATAATGACCACATCCTCCCCCAACTTATTGACTGTCCCCAGTCAATTCTGATTTTTATGACTGTGTTTGAAGGCTAAACCTTGTGTATTTTATATTGTAGAATTTAAATTTAGATTGTGTAATGATAATAATAACTTTGATAATTTTTATGTCTATTTAATTTGTCCAAAATTCCCTGCTTATGTTTGGTTGAGACTGGGATTTGAACAGAGGAGCCTTCTTATTTCTCAGAAATTTACTCCTTGGGTGAGAATTGAACCCAGTATTGATTGTGTATAAAATTTGTTCAAGGGTGGGATTGGAACCCATGTCCTTGGTGTTGAATTATGTGGCGTGTTGGGTTTTGCCTAGTTGGGGACTTGAACTGAGGTCCGGTTGGTTGACTCCAAATTTGGAGTTTATGAGGTGACAGTTGACTTTGCGCCTTTCACAGAAAATTTCACAGCCCTTGGTTTGAGCTGCTGCGCGCGCAGTAGTCCTGAAAGCCGCGCCGTCCGCTCCCAAGTTGTTTGCTAGTCTTTCTCCGTTTCGGAGACCTTTCACAAGCCTTTCACTGCTCTTGGCTATACCCTAGCCTATCTGCACCGGCCCGGTAGCGGATATGCCTCCCTCAACTCCTCTCTCCCCCTAATCTCTTCCCCACCTCGACTATCCGACTATTGACCAATATTCTCGTCGATCTCCCCAACAATCTTCTCGGCGATTTTCGCAACGTCCTCCTCCACGATCTTCTCGGCGATGTCGTTTCTTGAATTCGTAAGTTGGTTCTCTTCCAGAGTGTGTTTGTTTACCCCGCTCTAACGATTTTTGGTTTCATCTGCCAGAGATCCTTCTCAACTACTGGCCGCGCTGCCATCCACTAGTATTGTCCCAACCCTTTGAGTCGACCAGTTCCCGACGATCTTCTTATCTTTGTCGGCCTTGGCCCGGTAGTGCTTAGTCTAAAACAAAACTCGATCCGACCACTCCAGCTTGGTTCTAACGACTATCCTCTTCAGACCCGTCCTGGTAGCATGCAGCCTTAGGAACAAAAACCCCTTCAAGCCATCTATTCCCCACTTGTTTATCCACTACTCGATCGATATTCTTCGACGATCTTCTCAACGATAGGATCCTCGAATTAGTAAGTCTTCTTATCTTCTCTATTTGCTCTACTGTTGTTTTCCCCGCTTCGATTTTGGTATCAACTCTGCCATCCACGCTACTATTCCTTAGCCTTGTGAATCGCTTGGTTTGCTTTCCTCTCGTCTCTTGCAGGCTCGACCCGGTAGTGTTCAGCCTAGAAAAGCTCATCGGCCCGGCTCCGGTTCTTCTCTATCCTCGTCGGTCCGGTAGTGTATCTTCCTTCTAACAGAAGCCACCCCTATCCCTTTTCCTGGTCGATCCACCCACTATTCCCTTCCTTTCCTCTCCTCTCAATGATCTTTCCGCCTTCGCCGGCCCCGACCCGGTAGTGTACAAGCTAGCAATCGTCTTCTTTTCCTTTGTCCAAGCCTGGGCACTTCGCGGTTCCCTCCTTCCTTTTCGACTCCTCAGCTCGCCTTCCTTTGCTGACGGATACTGGCCTTTTATATTCACTGCCCGTGTATCGACCATCAAAGGTAATCCAGTTCCTCCCTCCTTTCTTATGCTTAACTCTTTCAAACCTCAGGGGGGTCAATGGGGTCCCCCAGGGAACACTCGACTTCGCCGCCGCTTCCTCGCATTCCAGTCTCCAGTATATAAAGGGCCTCTCGAATTGTCCTTCTCAACTTCTTCCCCAGTTCGACTTCCAACAGCGACATCCGCAAGACTTCCCAACCTCGTCATATTCATCACCAAAGCTTCCCCTTTTCTTCATTATTCCAAGATGGTAACCACCCGTTCTAAAACTCAGGCCTCCAGCTGTCCACCTCAAGTACGTTCATTCTTCCCCTTCATCCATTATGAGCTTTTACCTTCGCCGATAGCTGACTCCCTTCTTTCCTTTCCATTTGTACAGGTCAACGATGGCGCCTCGGTTATTCGTTCCGTAAGTCTTCTACTTCCATCCCTACCCGTCCTCTTACTCAGCTGATGTCATTTATTATTATTCTTTTCCGATTCTTCTTTTGTATCACTAGGGCTTCCAGGCCATTCGCTCGGCCTCTACGGTTTCTCCCGCTGAACTTCACGCCAACAAGTTCATGATTTCCGGCCCGGCTCGCCCTTTCACCCCGGTGAACTCGCCAAATGAGAAGATCCCAATCCCGGTACGTTTTATGCTTCTTCCTCAATTTGTCCTTTTCGTTTACTGACCCATCTACTCGGTTGGATTTTTACAGGTTCATCCTTCAATCGTGGCTCCGACATCAAGTCGTGCTGGCCAACATTTCGATCCTTCATTGGTAAGTCTTTTCCCACTCCTCAATTGTCACTTATGACTGATACTGATGTCCTCTTCTCCTTATTCACTTAATAGGAGCAAGCCGGGATCAACTTCTATCCGATCCAGGGTCGTTGGTCCCCGGTTTTTACTCCCTCGGCTGGAAACTTCCCTCCCGGGCTCAGAAGCCCCGATTTTGTTAATCCTAGCTCCACCGACGGGAGCTCCGCCGCTGATTCCGAATCTTCCGGTTCCTCGATCCATGACGGTTTCAGCTCTGGAACCGATTCTAATTCCAGCGCCCCGAATTCTGGCCCTCCTTCCATTCCACATTCGTCTGACTTTCCATCCCCTTCTTCCTCCGACATGCGCTCCGTTCCGCCCTCGGAGGTATTTTACGCCACCCGCCCGAGACCACAACCTGTTGCCACAGGGTCTGGCAACTCCTATGATGACCCAATGGTCGTCGACGACAATTCCGCCTCCGGTTCCGATCCGGACTCAGTTCCCTTTGGCCCGACCACCGAGTGGGGCTCCACGCAACAGGCTCGTCCTCCAACCAATCCCGTCAATCCCGGCCCCTCGGCTCAAGAAATGATGGACTTCGATTACAATACTATTCGAAATCGCCTTGTCGGTTCCAACCCGCATCCATTCGGCACTAAAGTTTATCGTGAGGAAGACCTCCTCTTCATGTTCCAACATGTTGCCAACGATTTCATTCACTTGGCCAATAAGTATCCCGCCTCGACTCTCGGCGAAATCGAGGATCGCGTCCAGTTTTATCAAAACCTTCAATGGGTTTTCACCGCTGACCGCCAAGTCTTCTTGGCCACCCACTGCGGCTATCCCTAAGTAAGTAGTCTTTTCTTTCATCTTTCTTTTACCAGCCCTTCTTCATTATGCTGACTAAAAAAACTTTTTAGCTTTTCCCTTTATGAATATTCCCCAACTACTAGGCTATAAGTGCCTTTTCTTTTTCCCTTCTAAAAAACTTTCAAGGAAAGAAAGATAAAAAAAAAAAAAAAAATAATTGAAAAAAAAAAAAAAGAACAAAAAAACTTTTTAACTGTACTACTATCCAACCTCTTGTAAATAGTTTTGATCATATAACTGGCTGACTTTTTGTGAGTTCATGCCCACCCCATTGGTGCCTTCTTGACCTCCTGGGACTCTGAGATCTTTTTGAGAAGAAATAAAAAAATATTTTGTACATAAAAAGAAAAAAACTCTTTTTATGAATCCTTTGAGTTTTGATTAAGAATCAACACTCCCTGAATTTTAAGTGAGTCTAAAAAAAGCTTAAAAATTCTTGACCAAATCACAGAAAGAAAAGGAAAAAGGAAAAGAACCCCCTCCCCCAACTTAAATGGTTGTCCTCAACCATTCCTAAAAAGGTAAAAAAAAAAAAAAAAAAAACTTGATTCAAGGTTGAGTTCATAAGAGAAGAATCCCCTCCCCCAACTTATCAAAAAGGAGTATGAAACTGATATGTTTTTGGTATTTAATGAGTTATACTTGGATTTTTTTTATTTTATTTTTTATTTTATTTTATTTATTTTTTTTTTATTCTAAAGTCAGAAAGAAACTGATGAAGATAAAAGTGAAGAAATTATATGATAAAGAAAAAAATGATAAGAAAATGAAGAATTTTTAATCCATGTCTGAATCTGAATTGGCATCATCATTTCCTGAGTTTTGATCTGATGCTGAATCTGAAGATGAATGGGAGTCTGAGTCTGAATCTGAATCTTCCTCATCTGCCCTTATTTCCTCCAAGTCCCTCCCCCTAGAATAAAACCTCTTGATATGGGAGGCAGCATAAGCTCTTTTTAATTCCACACCATCCAACTCTTCAAGAATATAAGATCCACCTTCAAGCTGCTTTTTTACTTTAAATGGGCCATTCCATCTGTTTTCAAATAATTTACCCCACTGATCTTCTAAGCTTTTATTATAAGTCAATACCATTTCACCAGGCGCCAAAGGATTCCGGAGTCTAGCCGCCATTTTTCTATCCCAAAATCTGACTGAGGATTCTCGAGTGTCTTGGAGTTTCTGGTAAGCTATTCCCAAGAGTTCTTCTTTCCTTTCGAGTTGCTGAGTTCTGGCTTCCAATAATTCCGCTGTTGTACTGACTTCCATCCAATCAATTCCCAAATAGGTGTCCATTTCAAGGTCCACAGGAAGAACAGTCTTTTGACCAAAGACTAATTCATATGGGGAGTAACCTGTTGATCTTTTTGTGGAAATTCTATCAGAAAAAAGTACTAATGGTAAATATTCCCTCCACTTCCCACCAGATTCGCCGCACATCTTGATCAAGGCATCCTTCAGTGGTTTATGGCCTCTTTCAATCATTCCATTTGCTTCAGGATAGTAGGGTGTTGTTGGTTTGAACTTGGCCCCAATTTTCTCGACTGCACTGATAAATTCACTCTTGAATTCCGGTCCATTGTCTACCGTTACCGTCTTGATTGCGCCGTACTGATAGACCCATTCCTCCAAAAGAAATTTTCCAATTTTTGCCGCAGTCAATTTTTCTAGAGGTGCAGCTTCCACCCAACCAGATAAATCGTCTCGAGCCACTAGTAAATATTTATATCTTCCAGCCTTAATGTGACAGACGTCCAACGCCACTCGTCCAAATAAGCTACTTTCGCCGGTAGGGTTTCTGATTTCTCGAGGAATTAAAGAATCCCTTTTCTGACACGCTTCACAACTCTGAACCCACAGCTTGACCTGCTTCTTAAGACTTGGCCACCAAAATCTGCAAACCAGCCTCTGATAAGTTTCTTCCAGGCCTCTGTGTCCCAGATCCTCGTGGACTTCTCGGAGTAATTTGCACTGATAGTCGTGGTTGGAAATGACCAATTGTCCAAGAGGTGAATGTCGTCGCATAAGTTGTCCATCTTGAATGAAAAAGTTGACTGATTTTTGTTTTAATTTCCTGAAATCTTCTGGGTCCATCCCCGTTGGTCGTTTTAGAGTCATTAAGTAACGCTTAAGGTCCATCCAATATCCAGAAGCTTCCCATTCCTTAGGCTCAAATGAAAGATTGGATACATTGATATGAACACAAGCTCTAATAACTGGTTCGTCTTCGTCAAAATCTTCTTGATCCTCGTAAAATTCTGGTTCTTCGTCGCTGATTGGTCTTCTGGATAATCCATCCGGCAGGGTGAATGTACTTCCTTTCTTGTGGACTATGTCAAAAGAAAATAACTGAATAAAAGCCACCCATCTCGTCATAGGCGCATTGGGTAGTGATGGTGAGTTGATCATCTGGATTAAGGATTGTGCATCAACTTGAAGTTCGAAGTGTTGACCCCAAAGATATATCTGTAGCTTCTTCAAAATTCTTGCCACCCCACAGAGCTCCAATTTAGGTTGAGAGTATCTCGATTCCACAGGTGAGAAAACAATTGATTCGTAAAGCACAGGTCTGTCCAATCCGGTTTCTAATTCTTGCTGCAAAAGAACTGCTCCAGCGGCTATGAAACTTGAATCCACCGCTAATTTGATCAATCCTGCGTCCTTTGAATAATCTAACTTCTTCAAGGTGATTTCTTCCCCGATAATCTCCTTCAATCTTTCAAAAGACTTGTTACAGCTTTCTTCCCAGACCCAGTCTATATCTTTCCTCGTGAGTTTTCTGAGAGGTGCCGCAATTTCTGAGAGATTCTTGATAAATATTCTGACGTAAGTGACAATGCCCAAAAATCCCCGTAATTCTGTTATGTTATGCGGAGTTGGCCACGTCTTCACTTTATTTTTCTTCTGAACTGAAACTCGCCGTCCTTCCTTACAGACCACGTGACCTACAATGTCCAAAGCTGGGACACAGACAGCAAACTTCTTTCCCGAAATCGTAAGGCCTGCTTCCTCAATTCTGAAAAGAACTCGTTCCAAGGTTATGGCGTATTCCCAGATGAACCGACGGATCCCCGGATTTTCTTCTAAGACTTCGTTGTTATATGTACTAGCTGGACCTTTGATTCCCCCATCATCAATGAAAACTCCTACATGCTCTGGAATTTCATCTTGAAGAATCCACATCATCTGAGCTTGATACACTGCTACTGAATTTGTGGCCCCTTGAGGAAGTCTGGTGAGCTGAAATCTTCCCAAAGGTGTGTCAAAGGTGGTTAAAGGTCGTGATTCTTGAGCTAATTCGCGTTCATCGTATCCGCCCATGATATCGCCCAGACCGTAACATGCACGTCCTGCAAAAGATTCGACAAATTCTTCCGTCGCTGGAGGCAATCCAGCATCCTTGATTGTGACTTTATTCATTTCTTGAAGATCGTGGACTATTTGTAATTTCCCATCCGCCTTGGCAACGCAGAAAACTGGACTAGAATAACTGGAAGTTGATTGTTCGTATAAACCAGTCCGTATTCGCTCCCTGACTAATTCTACATAATCGTCCTTAATCGCAGCCGGAATTGGTATTGGTTTCTTCTGCCATGGTTTATGGTCCACTACTGGTATAACGTATGGTAATCCGTAAGAGTGTTTTAGAAGTCCTCTTTCTCCAGTACAGAAAGCTATAGCCTTTTCTCTGATGACAATTAAATTCTTGAAGAGCTTCAATTCCTCGCTTGACAGCCATCCTTCTGGTCCAAAGTTCACCATCTTAAGCCGTTCCTCCGTAACTTTTTCCGTTGGTACAAATTCAGGTGGGTTAGGTGTAAGTGGTGTTTCGTATGGATCCCTCGAAAGAGCCGGTCTTTGAAGTGGTGGATTGAGAGCCTGAGGAATTGCTTCGTTAATCGGCCTGATCTTCTTAGCCACTGATTTATACTTCGTCATACACCAAAGTCCTCCGTCTCTCCAAGTTTGGCACAAGCGTTCCTGAAAAGCAATCCCAAGGCACTTCAACAGCAACGTTTCCATCTTCTTGTTGTCGCTTGATCGTATGAATTTTGGTTCTGCCAATGCCAATGTAAGCTTTGAACAAACAACAGCCTTCTTCTCTGAAACAAATTTGTCAGTTAACTTTGGGGAAACCTCCCCCAACTTCTCAATTTTACCCTTACAGGTCTTCAACATAAGGGAGGTAACCCCATAAAAACACTGGATGAAAAGAAAAATGTCCACAAAAAAATTCAAAATTTTACCCGCAGGAGTTTCGTGAGCATCATTCCGGATACTGTTGGTACTAAGATCCTTCATGTTGTTCCATCCTCTCCCTTTTCCAGTTCTTGCAAGTGGAACTGAAACCTTTCTTCCTTTGGTTCCTTGGAAGCTTAAAGTTTCACCGGTTTCTTGATATTCTAGCGTGCATTCGTAATCAAACAGAAATGGTCGTCCAAGGATACAGTCTTGCGCCTTCGGGGAAACAAAAAGGTGAGCCGGTCCCAAAAATCTTCCTATCGTTACTGGACAGTTTTCAGCTACCCCGTTCAAGTCACATCTTGCTCCTCCTACTCCTTTCATAGGTATATCGACTTTGACCACTTCCAGTTCTAAGTCCTGAGCCACTATGCTTGGAATAACATTGACCATAGACCCAGAATCAACCATGAAATCTACTTTTGATCCGCCAATTTCTGCCGTTACGTAGCCTAGAGCACAACTGTAATAACAGGGATCTCTTTCTTCATCTTCATTGTTGAGCTCCATTGCCGACATTTTGACTGCTTCAGTTGCTATGTAAGTTGTGGAACTTTTCTCCGGGAGTCTGCTCTGTAATTTCGAAATAATTTGGGATGTGTATGCTGGAGATATAGCCGTAAGCTGAGCAAAAGTGGTCGGAATTTTGACATTGTCTAGTTCCTGAAGCAAAATTTCCTCTGGGCTCGCATCCTTGGATTTCATAGCTGAGACTCTATCTTTACTCCAAACCTTCTCGACTGGCTTCTTCGGAGGATTTGGCGAAATCTCGGCCACCTCTTCCTCTTGATCCACATCCATCTGTTCATCGTTTGTTGGCTCCTGGATTCGAACACTTTGTCTTCCCTTCTGTGCATCAGACCTCGTTATTGCGTGAGTTCCTAGAAAATTCTCAGCCCCTAATGTTGGTGGATCCCAATCTATAGTTTGAGCTGATGACTTCATGATTCCAGAATTTTGCTTTGGTTCTGTCTTGGTCGCATTATTTGTGTGTTCTTGCATCTTTGGATCTGCCGAGGCTGTTGCAACTACAGTTCGGATTGGTCTTGAAGGGTTCCATGGAATATGTTGCCCATCTGGCAGGTACCAGTCTTTCCCGTTTCTCTTCACTAGCCCTTGCTCTTCATCCTTAAACAATTCAGAACATCTGTAAGTTGTATGACCTTCTCTGTGGCAGTAAAAACACATCATAGGTTCGTAGATTGGTGTTGAAGGTTTGGCGTTCCCTCGTGAGAATTCTGATTTCGGATTGCTTTGTTGGTTGTAAACAGGTAATACACTCTTCAATTGTTGTTTGAGTGAAGCCATTTCTTGCATTATGTCTTCTACTTGTTTCTCAACCACCTTTCCAGTTGGCGCTCCGGATATCATTTGTTCTCGTCGCTGACCATCGCCTTTCTTCTGATCCAGTTCCCGTTGCATTCGCTTATTCGCCTCGGAGAAGCCTGAAACCGCAAAGTATCCTTCCTCTTCAACCCTAATTTCTGTATCCGCTGCTTCTGTAACATGTTTCCACAGTGGAGGTTTACTACTGCCGTCTGGTCCTTTTGGGAGTTGTCCGTTACTGACTAAAGTCCTCTTGATGTTCTTCTGACTTTCTTTAGAAAATGCACTTATGAAAAGAAGTGATGCGTCCTGCTTCTTGTTCAAATGTTCATTATCCACGAGATATTTCAAGATAGTGGTGAATTTTCCCAAGTAAGCCTTGTATTCTTTGTAATCCTTCAGTCCTCCCTTTCTGGAGTATTCTTCCACAATTTTGACCAAATCCGCCGTAGTATACAGAATAGTGTTGTCCAATTCCCCCCAACTCTCCTTCATCGCCTTCCTTAACTCCGTCCAATTGAAACTATTGTAACCTTCCATCGCCTCGAGTTCCAACTTCAATTCCTCCTTATGTACAAATCGTCCAATCTGTAACGCCTTTTCGTAGTCCGATGCCTGAAACGCCAAAGCCGCTCGTTCGTATCTCGCTAGAAATCGTGTGAAATTGGTCCCGTCGTAAACAAGTCCCGGTTCCTTGATGATCCTTGGTCCATATCTTCTCTCCGCCGGTTCACCATCCGATCCTCTCGCATTATGTAATCCATATCCAGTCACCGGAGTTCCGTTTGCTTGGCTTGTCTCTGTGTGTAGGATCCTCTGAGTCTGA